TATTAGAAACAGGTGCATCGCTAGTAGTAACAGGTGCCTTACTAGTAGTAACAATAAGCTATTAGAAACAGGTGCATCGCTAGTAGTAACAGGTGCCTTACTAGTAGTAACAAGAAGCTATTAGAAACAGGTGCATCGCTAGTAATAACAGGTGCCTTACTAGTAGTAACAAGAAGCTATTAGAAACAGGTGCATCCACAACAGGCAGATTTGGTCACCTCGAAGTCCCTGAAACACCACCATCTGACACCCCTAAGAGTCCTTGCAAACTAGATCAATCCACCAGTCAAACCTAGCAGGACCTAGGATTGTTCTGACTCCCTTGACGAAACATGCATACTCTGTGATCCTATCTTGGTCTTGGCACAAGACAGTCTTGGACAGCTGAGAATTCAGTCTTGACCTTTTGACCAAACTTCGATTTATTGGCCTTGCCGCCGGTGAAAGGGGGTGAAGACTCGGCTTCTGCACCCTGGCCAGGCAGGTTCGATGAGCAGCTGCCAGCTGCCACACAGTTGTTTAAAGTTATTTAGCTTCCCCCAAGGGGTCCTACTTCCGCTGCGCAGGATATCTCGTGAGGTCTGGGCGCCTTCCGCTTGAAGCATTCCCGGCAACGCAGCGTGCAGGTGGCTGCAAACCACTAGCACGACCTACACAGGCAAAGGCTACGATCAAGAAGGCTGTGTTTGGTTGTGGGTGAAACAAGGCCGACCAAGCATTGCAATTTGACTAAGATTGACTAAGGCATCCTTATTTCATCTTATTTCCTTGTTTTAAGTTGTTACTTTCCCATTCATGTTGGCAGCGTCATCCTTTTGAAGCGGGTAGAAGCTGCCTGTCCCAGGCACGCCATGGTCCAAAGAACCTCCAACGTCAAGACGTTTTGCGCCAAATGCTACAGACTCCACCTACTACCTCTTACTATGAACAAGGATGTTTTTTACTTGACAAGAAGCTTTTCTGTCAGATCTTTCAGAGACCTTTAGACTTTGGACCCTTCTTTCGTTCCTTTCTGATTTCCCTTGGGGAATGGATTTATCTTATATATATAATATATAACTATCTTTTACTGTGAACAGGAAAGAGACGTGTTGGCCGTGTTGGCAATTTTTCTTTCTACAATATGCTTTAAGCGTCGCATGACAACGCAGCAAAATGGATAGCACGTGTCTCACGTTGTTAAAACGTCCGACGAGGCGTGAGAATTCGTGGCACAGCAAGCCAGGAGCTGGAACCAAACCTACAGTACCAAATCCAGCTATCGTCCAAAAGCCTGCTTGAGGCATGATATTGCCCAACTTGCCTGAGAAGTTCCATCCCGAGCACAGGATAAGCCCCCGCGGAAGATTGCAAAGTCCACGAAAACCACAGCCTCACGTTGTCAGAACAGAAAGGATAACATATTGCGAAAATTGATACTAATTACCATCTGGAAATTCAGACACTGCAGCGAGCGCACTTTGCAGAAACACACAAGAATAAGCACCAGCAATTTGAATTCACCAGAAAGCAACTACTGATGCTGTGGCCTCAACCGCAAGCCAAAGCGTCAAAGACCCTCGCTCCATCCTCCGCAGCTTGTCGATCACAAACCATATACTAGATCACAAGAGCCGACAAGGAAATAAGTACACAAAATATCACAAAATAATAGCAGTCAGCCGGCTTGCGTGCTCGAGCGCCACCACCATCCACTTCCCAAATTACGTCAAGAAACAAAATCCAGCACCAGACTCTGGAGGTATGCACGAGGCCCTCACCATACGGCCAACGCATCTCCCTGCCCCTTTGAGACGTTGGCCTGAGATTGATTCGATGGCGTCCAACCTACTAGCGACGGCCTCCAACCTAAACACAAAAGCCTTGATTGTCAAAGTCAAAGTGGAGACATCCTTTGCAGGGTACAGCACTCAATGACCGGCGGCTGGACAACTGAGTCGTGGTCAAATTTTTAAGATTTATTGAGAACCCCATGGCCCATGGCCAACATTGAGTCACAAATTGACAATTGCTTTCGCTGCGTCATTGCATACCATTGCACAGGCATCAGTCCAGTCAGTCCAGGACAGCTGAGGAACAGGCGGCCAGGAATGACATCACTCTGACTGCCAAACAAAGAATAAACACTGCCTGCAAGACAACAAACAATGAATGGTTGGCACGAGAAAATGTGTGTACACACAGGCGTGCACAGGTGTGAGACACGCATAAGGCACACAGGATTGCATTCTTGCAGGCAATACCCTCTGCAGGCAATACCCTTTGAATACCTAGTAGGTTGTTGCAAATGGTTAGTGTCTTCCAATTCCAATCAACAGGCGAGATATCTTCTTGTAGATTCTAATGGATACTATGTAACTACACTCATTGCTACACTCTCGAGGCACCATTTGTACTGTTCCATGTTGTTGCCGGCGACGACGCAAATCGCGAACCTGATTGAGCAATGGGCTTGTGGATCTTTTACTATGTTGCAAGAGACACGTATCACTTTTGGCTGCAGCAGTCTCTTAGCATCTGGCAGCTTCATGCAAAAGCAATGCCATGCAAGGAACCTGTAGAAGCGGTCAATGAATTGTCATTAGAACATGTCATTGGAACATTAGAATTGTAGTGAATTATAACTCCTGCAGCTGAAATGCAGAACTGCAGCTACAGTACAAGGATTGCTTAAGGGGACCTGTACCGAGCACGAAGTGTTCCTTAGTATTCCTCAGAGAATACACCAATGTGGAACATGAGGAGTCTGAGACAAGGACCAGTGAAGCAGCCACCACCATGCCAATTGAGGCCAGCCAAAGGAAAAACACGGCTGCAAACCTCAAGGTCCAACTCCAATGCTGTGGAACTGGCCATGGTGATTAGACAAGCGACAAACAAACTGGTTGTGATGTCCTTCCTTGTTCAAGGATACAATGAGTACATCTGGTTTTGAGGGTCCAGAGTCCAGGGTGCAAACATCTCACTGCACAAAATAGGAGAATCAACCGTGTTCCCTATGTTGCTCTGGGGCACTCTCTTTGAAGTAAATATGTGCCATATTGTTGGGCTCATTGTGCCGGCTCATTCAGTACAACCGTCCAATTCTTTTTGCTGCAGGGTCATGGGAACCTATCAACTGCGCCGCCCTACTATCTACACTTACACTACACAGAGTTACCCCGCAACCACCATTTCAGTGGCCCGTCTACTGTACGCAAAAATGTCTTTGATGGCTATGGGCCATTGCGGACCATGGAAATGAGTCAAATAGATTGTGTGAAAAGTACGAAATAGTGAACAGTTCACATAATAAACTCATTGTTGTCACTGTGTTGTCACTATTGTCACTGAGGCAAAGACGGTAGAAAGTCTCCGGTCAAGCTTACTGCTGCCTGCAAGATGCGGCAAAGAGCCTGACGGCCACATTGCTCCTGAAGAATTCATTTGTCAGACCGGACTGAGAAAGCCTCAGCTCAGTAATCAGATGCAATTTCTTGTGAACCTGTGAACCTCAACAAGCCGAAAACGTTGTGAGTACATGTACTGACAAACAAAAAATCTGTCCTCTCGAGGCACTCTGAGGAAGGCCAAGATCATTGTGTCCATCAGCAAGGTGTGCCCTAGTCATTGTTTGAAGAATCCCAATTGCTGTTGCATCTCAGGTTGATCAGTTGTAGGCCGCAGTGTTGAGCTTAAGATAGGGATAGGGGCTGTGGTGGTAATCTTCAACCTCACCTTTTGCCTCCAAGTTTTGTCGTGAAGTTCCAGGTATACAGCGGCACTAACCCATGCCGAATCACTTTCGTTAAAGAGTACTGTCAGTACTGTACTGTACTCAACATCGTTTTGGTGACATCCTGAAAGTCAAAGGAAAACATTCGCTGATGGAATGAAACATAATCATAAAACAGCGGATGCTTTCTGCCGTTTGCCTAATGCACTCCAGGCATAGAGTGGAGCCATCTTCTTCACAGCCGGGAAGACCCAAATAATTTCATGTAGTAAGACAAGGACACAGCCTCAGCTGTGAAGGGCACACAAGCATTCTACTATCCACAGAATCGTCCACAGAGCCTGCCTAACTTGAATATTCATTCCTGTGCTTCTCAGATCACAAAGTCCCTGACCGCCAATCTTGACAGTGCACACTTTGACCATGAACTCCTGCCAATCACGGAAATAAGTTTCATTGTGTACGGGGTGGAAGAGGAATTTCACACACGCACGCACACACGCACACGCACACGCACACACGCACACATACCAGAACATACCAGAACATGACCAGTATCTCAACAATGAGATCCTGCAACAACATGTTTGGCGCTGCTTGAAGTCACTAATTTAGCTTGCCGCATCCAAAAACGACCGCAAGATCCAATTGAACCTCGCCCAGGAAGATGGGCCGCCGTGAACGAAAGAAGTTCAGCGCCAAGACCAAGGTTCCAAGCGAGATCACCTGGTATGAGCCGCTGCTGTGTCGGAGTTGGCAGGTGATGCTTTCCTTTACAATATTGCAATGGAAACTGTACCAACTCTCAAACTCATCTCAACAACAATTGACAACAATAGGCGACAAACTCAAAACCCTCAAGCGCTCGAGCTGCACCGTCCGCTGCTTTGCACACTGCGCAAAGTTCTGGCAAAAGTCCAAGAAGCCTGGTGGCCTGAAGGACTGTCGCTCAGAGGACATTTTTCGAAGTGTCAACAGGGTGCAATTCACATCACTCCGTCGAAAAATATAGCCAGCATGTGCCTAGGACAAATCACTCATGCTGCTTGGCATCGGGCTGTGCTAAAAGGTGACTCACCCGACCTGAACATTCAGCGGTTGTTCAAAGACGTTTATGAACTCTTGAACTTCACGTGTTCATTGTTTCTGCGAATAACTTAGCACAATTGGCTGCACTGATCAATTTGCTTGCAATCGTGCTACGTTATGCTGTCTGCTCTTGAAACAGTGTGCCTACGTTGCGCCAGCCAGCAAGAAGAAGCTTTCCAGCTAGTTGCATGCCCTGACAAGCAGCACAACTCAGATCAAGTCAAGAACAATGGCCAGACTTCTGAATTCTGAGGCTGCAGTCTGCGGTCTTTTCATAAATAAACCGGCTCTATGGTGGAGATGTTCGGCAATCTCTAATCCAGTTTCAGCATCATCAGCCTGCCATGTGGAGCCAAGTTGAGCTGACCACAGCAAGACCTTGGAAGAAAGCTCTGCCGCGCAAGGACTACAACCCGGCAAATGTGAGATAAGTTAGTCGGTGCCAATTTCGCAACAAGAACAACAGCAGCGTCATCAACAGTGTCATTATGGTTGTGATGATCAAACTACTCGATTGCAGCTCTTGCATGTAGAATTCCAGAAGGTACTGAATGGTACTGAGCCGAAATTGTATGACATCATTATCAGGTGTCTCCAAAATTTGCCGTTGCTCAATGAATCCAAATAACTTATTCATCACTGTCATGATTGACCTGCTTCCTTTTGATCCTTTCGAAACTCTCGACCTTTAACATCTTTCACCACAAACAAAGGAGCTGACCTACACCCAAACCAGAAACTGACTGCTCAAACTCATACAACGAATCAAACACCTCAAGCTTCCAAGCCCTCGACTGATGCGAAGAAAACGAAAATAAGCTGTAAACGTGTGGCCATAGTCAGGCGACATGCCAAGCTTGAGCGGCAAAGCCTAAGTAAGCCAGAAACAGGCAGGTTGTGTAGTCTCTTGGAAACACATTCTCGAACTGGATCGATCGATATCCTATACGCAACTGCTGCAACGGAAAAATGCCTCACTGACTCTCACAAACCATGAAGTGTCCACAAGCTTCATTCAGCTGTGACCCAGGCTCGCAAGTGAAATCCACCGGTCCTCGCCGATGAGATAGCCAAGCCTGTGCTGACGGAATGAAAATTGCAACTTAACCCTGCTGACAACACCAATCCAATATAAACATCCAAAAAGACAATGATATAAACGAACTATATAAATATCGACAGAAAACAGAAAGGTCACGCAGCTACCGACAAGACTTTCCACCCAGAAGAGCCCAAAGACCTCTTAAACTGCACTTAGACTTGCAATGCTCGTGCGACGGGCCTTTAAAAACAACAACAACAACAACAACAACA